AAAAAATATTGAAAACTGAATAATGTGGTACTTCTTGTCGCATTTCAAAATTGGTTGTTTCTATTGGATTCAACGTAAATGACGTTAAATAACAATTCTACACGAAAGTGGTGGGAGCTAGCGGTAAACTAGTGTGACCTGCGTCGGTGTTTCTAAAGAAACAGTGGTGTAGAAGGCTCTTTACTCCAACGAAAGATTAACTTCCAAAACGTCAGTAAGTCAGTAATCTCACCTTCTTTTTTACGGTGTTAAATTTATCTTTTTACAAAACTTATTCTACACCAGGTTGCTTTCGACTAAAGGTACAGAGGTTTGAGATATTTAGGGTTTCTAAAGTACTAATTGACATACTTGATATTTTATAACAAGGGTGTCGACAGCAATAAATGGTGTTGACTTGACTTCCTCGTACGGGCACATCCATTCCACTTTCCAATTCCATTCCCGCCAAAAACGACTCTGATTCAACATTATTATACGTCTACCAATAGAAACATGACATGTGTCACTTTATCAGAAGAGTGTGTGACATGACATGTGTCACTCTATCAGAAGAGTGTGTGACATGACATGTGTCACTCTATCAGAAGAATGTGTGACATAAATGTAAATAAAAAAGGAACTGTTTTCACTACGTTTACATATTGCCAGTCCCGTTTGAATTCGTTCCAGTTTTGTTCATCTTGGCAGACGTTCACAATGGAACTAATGAACTGACTTGATCTCTGAACATATAGAACTGTGAGGATAGAAGGAACTGCCCTAAAACCAAGTGTCCACAATCCTGACCGCTTGTATACGTAAACGTAGAGTAGACTTAGTGAACTCTAAAGCTATGAAGAGGGAACCCCAATAAATGTATGGTCCTTACTTGCTCGTCAATAACACCAAACGTCCATCATCATTGAGTTTAAAGTCAGATTCATAAACATCTTTTGATAACTCTAAGGATCGTGGAAGACTCTAAAACAAACAAAAGTAAATAACAAATAAACAAACTCTAMGTTCTTTTTTAAGAAATCATTAAACCATTCCTAGAAATACCTAAAAAGAGCGTTAGTATCAGATACATATAGAAATATCAAAAAGATATTACGAAACGTGAATGAACAAATGAACTTCCTTAAAGATCATGTCTCTTTTCTTGGAAATATCTAGAAAATGATCAGGGATCATCCGTTTATTAAGTAACATAGTCACTAGCTATGTCGCATTATGTTACATAAGGACTGGAACTCGTCGCAATTGACTTACACAACAATAAGAGACAGTAAAATGATCAGAATTTTAGTTCTTCTTGACTTAATTTTAGTTGAATTTTTATTGTTGAATTAATTACCTTGAGTGTACCGAATCCTATAGCCTCCTGCTTGGAGTATGGCTTTAAAGGCTAAAGCAAAATATTAAGTGAAATATTAGAAAAACTATWATAGAGAAAATGGGAAGGTGAGCATAATGCTAAACAAGTTCAAACTCAAAAAGTCAGGAAGGCGGTAAACTGGTGTCACGTTSTACCTCATTTGGGGCAGCAAACCTCGGATGTCTCATTCTACAGGCAATATCTTCACCTCCTTGTTCTGCAGACCTAAAATACAGGTAATCATTCCAATGAACATGACTATTCCACGTTTTTGTCTTGATTCAGTTTTGTAAATTCATAAAACTAACGCATAAAAGGGATCAGAGGAGAAAGCAGAGCACCAAGCATGTTTTTACTTTGCTCCAGCAAGGTACACTTGGAAGATCTAGTGTTTTTATGCCATCATTTAATGGTGGTACCCCCCCCCCCCCTCTCCCCTGGAAGAAATTTAGACCCAAACACGTGACCTACCTTCTTATTCCATCAAACGTGAAGCTAACCATGTCGATCACACCCCCTGTGGGTCTTGTTAACACTCCTAGCAGACCTTTACCGGTTCCTTTAAAAAAACCTTCCACTCCCTCTGTACGGGCCCCTGCAATGCAACCCGAYAATACTTTATACAGACAAATAAYAAATTATCCGAATCATATCCGAACTAAACCCGACGATTGACCGAATAACGAGGTACAACAATACTTTTTGTRGACACGTAATAATGATCACGGAATCAAACCCGAATCACGTCTGAACCATATCAAAGAATGGTTTTCCGAATGAAGACTGRCCGATAACCGAATAATCACCAAAAAACCGGAATAAATTGRAAGTTTACCATCCATTTATTTTGGTAATATTGCTATTTTTACCTTCAATGGGTTTCATTACAATACCACCAATGCCAAACACAAGGCCCTAAAATGATAGTAAAATAATAGTTTCCTTAGTTTCAGTGAAAAATATTTTGCGTTTTCTGAAAAAAAGTGCTCTTAAATGCTGCAGTCCTTGGTCCGAGTGGGGTAGGGTTTCAAATGTCTGCAATACACTTGCCATGACAAGGCTTTTCCCGCCCATCATCAGTCCTTGACCAATTCCTGATGGCTCGATATGCATTCGCCTTCGTCTTTTCTAAAGGGCAAACACAACGAGATTCATTAGACCTTACATGTATATATACTTGTGGATAAWTATACCACACTATTCGATAAACGATCAGCCTTTGTTGCTCTTAATTACCAATCTATAGTCTGTATCAAAGGACAAAGTTGCCACTGCTTGTCCAATACTTCCAGTAATACGTGCAAATGCACCCGCGGTTCCCCCTGGCAAAGCAAAGGAACTCATTATTAGGTAACACCTTCATAGTGTCATCAAATACTTGGTGTTGGTTGGAAATTTGCACACGACGAAATGTCTATATTAGAGATTGGGCCTCTTCTCTCTCCGACGAAGGATTGACGTCCGAAACGTCAGTAAGTTGTTTCACCTACTTAATTTATCTTTTTACACATAGCAACTGTTCCTACATGGAAAAGTTACCTTTGGTTAAAGAACAAARCCCACTTCAATGAGCTACAATCTAAAGACATGCCTGTGGCCCTTTAGATCGGGTCTCAAGGGGGTGATTTGTCTACTAAAGCGTCTTCTACATACCAACAACATGTCCAAGCAGRCTTTTCACACCTCTTGCCAAACCCTGAGCAAACTCTTGAGGTCCGTRAACTATACCCTATTGAAACGATATTGAAATAAGATAATCTTTAATGAGTAGTAAAACTTTCCCATCCCATTTCCTTCATTCTACGTGGTGAATATTCTACTTTGCATTTCCTAGCAACTAGGCATGACATTAAATTAGTTTATGCGTGGTCATGATGGCTGAGTTTGTTTGTTTTTTCACTAACAGAACCGTTTTGCAAAGGCATCTACATGTAYCATTGACAGATCAACGGCTGTCTTGGTTTTCGGCGAATGCTACCCTTCACGACAATAGGTAAATGCAAAAGGTGTAACTTACTAAGCCTTAAGCCTTACCTGATAAGGTTCGTAAAACAAATCCTTGACACCCTCACCAATACCAGATATATTATAATCAAACATTTATTTCCTTTGTGATTAAAATAATTCCATTTTTAGCATCTTATTTTATGTGTAACTTTCTAATTAAATAAAAGTATGCATAAGTGTATAGACACAGGCTGATAAGGTTCGTAAAACAAATCCTTGACACCCTCACCAATACCAGATATCAAGGCATATGGATTTCCAAGTACATCTAACCCAAGCACAAGCGCATAGATTTGACGTACACCCTGAAAAAGAGCAAGTTTTCGCTTATATTGAGTTGTTGTTTTTTTAATGGTAAAGCTTTTTTTCT